TTATAAACAGGTAGTGGTTCATTTATATTTACAGGTAATGAGTTCCAGATTTGGGCCTTTTTTGTGCATTGAGTTTTTTGCAAAGCTGTGAGCATGGTCTCGAGGAACATCATAAGAGTGATCTGTGCCTTGGGTTATGGTCATGCAGTTCTGGTGAGGTTGGCAGGAGATGTTTGAGGGGAGGGTTAATTACTCAGAGTTCATGTGTTCTATGTATTGTATAGGTGCAGGTAATATAGTATGAATGTTTTGTATGGTGAATAGGTTTAGTGTATTGATTATTGGTGGTGGGTCTGCCTATAGTGAGAATTTGGTATTCATTCTAACTGCAGCTTTTGTTGGGTAATTTAGTGGTCTGAGATGGTTACTTGTTGTTGAGCCCCATGCACAATTCATAGGTGAGATATGGGTAAATAAGAGAGTGATTAGGGCCAGGAGGGCTGACTGTGGAGCATAGTAACCGTATCTCCGATAGTATGCCTACAGTCTTGGAAATTTTCTTAGAAATTTGTTGTATTTGTGAATGGAAATTTGAGTCTATTATCTATGGTGGTTTCCTAGATTTTCCCTTCTGTTAGCTTTGTGTTAGGTGATCCGTTTATATGATGTTAAGAGGGGACATCTGTAGCTCTGTTACCAAACTGAATTGAAGTAGGTTTTGTCTATGTTTAGTGTAAGGATTGTTAGTCCGCATCCAGGTAGAGATTTTCTGTAATTCTGTATTTACAAGTATTGGTAGCTGACTGGGCTCAGGGTGGGAGAAAGACGTATTGTATGTATCTGCAAATGTGTTGGTTTGTGTAAATTGCGAAGCGGTGGGGCGCGGTTGGGGGGGGGGGGGGACGCGCACGGTATTATGCTGATGACACATACTATACGTCTTTCCACCGAGCCAGTCACGTACTCCCCCATCATAACCACTCCTCCAAACCCTCCCCCACACCATACCATCTACACCCCCCCCCACCCCCCCCCACCGCCCACGTCCGCCGCCCCCCCCACCCCCCCCCCCCGAGTCTTTGATCCCCGACCCCCCCCTTTAGGTAGAATGATCGCACGCCATAGAGGGCCATGGTCACATTTATCACCCCTTCATAGGGGCAGTTTTATTATACATTGGGATCACTTCTTTGTCATCCTCATCTGTACGTTTTCCTTTTTTTTACTTCCCTCAAGTGCATTTTATCCATTCTGTTCGTCGGTGACCAGACTGAGCAGCATAGTCTAAATGAGCCTACCAAGGATATTATAGGAGTTGAAGAACACATGAGGACATTCTATTATTTTTTACTTCTTAGATTTTATAGCCAAGAGTGCGGTTAGCTTTATTGTGGACTTTATGCACTGGTGTCTTGGTTTTTAGATTACTGCTACCTGAATTCCTAAATCCTTTTTGCATCTGTAGTATTATCCCCTGACTGTTGCTCCCCCCATTTCTGTGGGTTCTCATGGTGTCGCAAAATTTAAAAAAAAAAAAAAAAAAATATTCTTATGTAAATGTCAGAAAATCTGTTCCTGATTGTAATGACACAAAAAAACGAAATTTGATGGTAATAACTGACAGATTATGCTCTGTAAAGGTTAGCGACCTCGGCGATATTTGCCAAATAAGGCGATTTCGCCACTTTGAGCCCTAATTTTTTTTTTGGCTTATGCCATTGTTCCAGTCGACCAAACTCATAGCTATTTATTAGAACTCCATTTTCGCTATAGATTGAGTACAAGAACTGCCATGTACCAATTCCAACTACCCAATAAGGTGGTACAAGAAACTGCAATTTGGCAAATTTCATGAAAAAATAAAAAATATCGGCAATTTCATCATAGGGGGCAGAATGTACAAATGCAGACATTCCTAGACTCTAAAATAACATGTTCTTTGTTCAGCAGTCATGTCTCAGCCCTCTGATATTTCTCTTGCTTTCTATTTGAATTTTTATTCAAACAAAAAACTGAAGATTGACTATTATGCAGACGACGCAATTCGGTTATAATTGTATAAAATAACATCTACCCTTTATGACTGCATATTAAAATGGCTAGTTGGACATTTTTTGGACAATGACTCATTTGTTTACCTTTTGAACAAGCGGCAAAAATCAAAACATTTCCTACTTTGAGCTCCATTTCAGGGTTCTTTTTTAGTTAAAATCAATCTAAAATCACTCTAATTTCTATAATATGTTTTTTCCATTCTATCAAATGGGACCTAAGAAAAACGAGAACTACAACCATAAATACTATTACATAAATAGACCACAAAGTTGGCATTTTAATTAAAAAAAAAAGGTCGGGTTTTTTTTTTTTCATAATGCACTGCGTGCTCCAGGGATTTTTTTTATATGGGGCACACTGACCACACAGATCCATTCCCCTCACATGGGGTCTACTAGCTTTCTATTTTGATTTGAAAGACGCTAGAATGATGAGTATTATACGTCAAAACACGGTACCTCGTAAGACGTAGATTTTCGGCCAACGACAGTCAAAGGTTAAGATCTACATTATTGAGTTTATATGTGGCTTGGTTATTTATATTGTCCAACTTTTAGAATCCTTTGCAATTTGTCAATATTAAAAAATGAAGCTGCCCTTCTCCGACCATTGCATCAGTCTATTCAAATAATCCTGGATGTGCTCTAGTGTCCTCATTAATAATGAATTGTATGGCCTATTTTGGTGTCTTCAGCAAATTTGCTAATGTCGCTATTTATTCCTCATCTATTAGTTTATGTAAATTGTGTAACACAACAGGCCCATATGACCCCTGAGGAACAACACTGGTGATTGTGCCACCATTCTGATTTCTCTCCATTTATGAAAACTCTCTACTGCCTATTTGTTAGCCATGCCTTACCCAGGAAACCCAATTTCTCCTCCTATTCGTTTTATTTTGTTTTCTAACCTCAGCCTCATTAAGACTAAAAATATTTAAAGTTGTAATGAGTGAACTGTATATGCATTTTATCGCTCGGGGACACTAAAATGTCATCGAATATTATGTGTGAGTGGGTTGGCCTGGTATGGTAGCCTGACTGGCTTCCAAACATACCACACTTGATTTCTTATAATAAATACTACTCATCTCACCCTAATAAGACTACAAACGTTTTAAGGTAAATAATGATTGTATTATATGTGTATTTTACTTTTATATTGTTTTTAGTGCCTAGTTCTATTGCTAACTTAATATATGTTAGTGTAAACTTATTATCTAGTACAGTGGACCCTCGCATAACGATCACCTCCGAATGCGACCAATTATGTAAGTGCATTTGTACGTGTATGTTTAGGGGTCTGAAATGGACTAATCTACTTCACAATATTCCTTATGGGAACAAAATCGGTCAGTACTGGCACCTGAACATACTTCTGGAGTGAAAAAAATATCGTTAACTGTATTTACTGTATTTACATGCCTTTATAAGTGGAAAAAAAGGGTGTTCCACTTTACAGCGATTTCTGCTTTATGGCAGTAGCCTGGAACCTAACCTGCCATATAAGTGGGGCCCTACTGTACATATATCATTAACCCTTTGAGGGTCGACAGGCCCTCTCCGAAACTCGTTCTCAGGGTCAGCCAAATTTCAAAAAAAAAAAAAATTATTTTTTCTTATGAAAAAATAGAGTTTTTTTTTTTTAAACATTATAGGATAAACAAAAAAATTTACCATCCAATACTTACGGAGATATGGATGCATGAAGTTTGCAGAAAATGAGCCGCGTATGGCAACAGCGGCGACTGCCGCTCACCCGGTAAACTTTAGTTTACTTGTATTTGAGGTTTGTTGTTTTTTCACTATTTTATTTTTTTCACATAACTATGTGGCCTGTGAGACCAAAGTAAGGTGCAATGTACATATATACACTCGTTGTATACAACACAATAAGCACACAAACATAATTATCATATATTGTTTACAAAACTTGTTTACAAAAACAAACAATACAAAACATTGTTTATTATTATTGTTCTATAATATATATACCAATATACAGTCACTGAACATATTCCTATTAGTTCTGCAGCTTGTGGAACTCTGAAACATGGTGTCATACACAATGGTGTTTTATCTTTCTCCCTCATTCTATCTCTTTCAATCTGTCTCTCTCTTTCTATCTGTCTGTCTATCTCTGTCTCACAGGTACACATAAATACAAGTATACATAGTATAAATTACCTAGATAACCCAAGAAATCCAGACAAAGTGCTATACTCTGCTTGAAGATGTGAGTAAAAGTGATGACACAGTCTTGTGGCTCTCTGAGACAGAGAGCTAGAGGATAGACAGATAGACAGGGAGCTTGACAGACAGACAAATAGACAGACAGAAATGTTAGTGTACCAGTACCAGTGTACTAGTGTTCCACCCCTCCTCCTCCTTCTTCTCTCTTCCCCTACTCTTCCTCCTCTTCCCCCTACTCTTCCTCCTCTTCCCCCTACTCTTCCTCATACTCTTCCTCTTCCTCTTCCTCCTACTCTCCTCTTCTCCTCTTCCTCCACCTCCTCTTCTTCCTCTTCCTCCTACTCTTCCTCTTCCTAATACTCTTCCTCCTCCTCCTCTTCTTCTTCCTCTTCCTCCTCTTCCCCCTAATCTTCCTCCTAATATTCCTCTTCATCCTCCTCCTCCTCTTCTTCCTCTTCCCCCTACTCTTCCTCCTTCTCCTCCTCCTCCATAGTGTAAATTACCAGGAGTCGGCAGCTGTCAAAATGACATATTGTCTCATTACTCACTACCCCCTCCCGCCTGTCAAAACAATGGGGTCGGATGCTGCTTCCCTTCCTCCATTCTATCTAATTATCTTTCTCCCTCATTCTATCTGTCTTTTTATCTCTGTCTCACAGGTACACATAAATACAAGTATACATAGTATAAATTACCTAGGATAACCCAAGAAACCCAGACAAAGTGCTATACTCTGCTTGAAGATGTGAGTAAAAGTGATGAACACAGTCTTGTGGCTCTCTGAGACAGAGAGCTAGACGATAGACAGGGAGCTTGACAGACAGGCAAATAGACAGACAGAAATGTTTAGTATACCAGCAAAAACAAAGGGAGGGAGATGTTTATCTCATCTTTTGGCATCAGCTCTACCCTCATTTACCCTCATCAAACGTCAGCACTTATCAGATGTTATCTCCCCTTATCTTGTTACTGTCATGGGTGAACATTTATATTATTATGTATTATTATTATGTATTATTATTATTATGTATTATTATTATTATGTATTATTGTTATCATTACGTATTCTTCTTCTTCCTCCTCCTCCTCTTCTTCTTCCTCCTCCTCCTCCTCCTCTTCTTCTTCCTCCTCCTCTTCTTCCTCCTCCTCCTCCTCTTCTTCTTCCTCCTCCTCCTCCTCCTCTGCCTCCTCCTCCTCTTGCCTCCTCCTCCTCTTGCCTCCTCCTCCTCTTGCCTCCTCCTCCTCTTGCCTCCTCCTCCTCTGCCTCCTCCTCCTCTGCCTCCTCCTCCTCCTCCATTCTTGGAACAAGTTTGAAGAGCTTGTAGTTCATAATCACTATCACTATCATCACCAATGCTCACATCTGAGTCTGGGATTTTGGAAAATAGGAGTTTCCTCTTTGATTCTGGTACAAATGAACATGAACAAGATGGCCCAGCACCAGAGGTGGAAGGCTGTGGGTTGTCTGGGTTTTCCTCACTATTACCCATATTATGGTCATTAGTTTCGGTCAAAACCTCACCAGAACCTTGAAACTCATCTTCACTGTCACTTCCATCTGTATTAGAACTGTCACTGGGGAACAAAAGTGTCCCAATTCGCCGAGGAGTGAGGAACTTCTTACCACAGGGCACGTGGAAATTGTGTACTATGATGGCATTCCCACAATGCACCACTGGGTCCCAGATTTTTTTCCTACTGCGCACACCCACCACACAGACCCATTCTCTCACATCTAGGCTTATCAGCCTTTTCCTGTGAGATTTGAGGCCGCTAGAATTTATGCGTACTAGTACGACAAAAACCCCTACGCGTAAGACGTACTAGTACGACCAAAACCCTCAAAGGGTTAAACTTTCAAACACTTACCTGGATTTGTCAAACGAAATGCAGCGTAACCTTCATCTCGATCTTGACCCAACCAGTCCACTGAAAATGCAGCAAGCAACAGTAGTGGCCAGCCCTGACCTGAAACATGAGTTCAGCTACAAAATATTGATTTCAGTGCTCTGTGCTTAATGCACCAAAACAGTTATTTGGGTCACAAGGGAATAACTAGGTTGGAAATGACCCTAATAAAGAATATTTAAATGGTTCATTCCTTCGAGTTGGCTTCCTGTTACAATACAAGTTGTAATTACTGTATAAATAAAGAGAACTAAACAATGGTGACAACCCTCAACTCTTCATTCAAAGAATATTTTGAATCTGTAGAATTATATTACATTACTGTGCACTACATATATTTAAGAAATTGTACTCATGTCTATTTTTTTATAATGCTATTTGTTCATTAAACTTTTTCATTGTAAAAATGATATTAAACCTTAATTAACAAAATACGCCTACCATCCGACTTATGACCTGCTTGACATACGTCCACTCGACTTACAACCATGCATCTGGCACCTGGGCTGGGCCAGCTGATACATACCACTGTACAATATTTGACAATACTCGCGGGGGCAATGTGCCATGCAGGCATCATCAGTTTGAGTAACCCTGTCCTATCAGCAGCATCATACTGTATTAACTGTACTAACTGGACAGTAAATTTCACCATGGCCCCTAAGATGAAGTCTGAATCTTGCACTGGAGATTGTGGCAAGAAAGGCTCTTACTCTCGAACTCTCTATTTGTTTTCACTGTTGCACATAAATCTGTCTGTATCTGTTTGCCTGTATATCTGTCTGTATCTGTGTGTCTGTTTGTCTGTCTACTAGTGTGTCTGTCTTTCTGTCTACCTGTGTGTCTGTCTTTCTGTCTACCTGTGTGTCTTTATGTCTACCTGTGTGTCTTTATGTCTACCTGTGTGTCTGTCTTTCTGTGTGTCTGTCTTTCTGTCTACTTGTGTGTCTTTCTGTCTACCTGTGTCTGTCTTTCTGTCTGTCTGTGTGTCTGTCTTTCTGTCTACCTGTCTGTCTTTGTCTGCTTGTCTGTCTCAGAGCCACTCATTAAGAGTGTACTTGGTCTTAACCCTTTGACTGTTTCAGGCCCCTCTCTGAAACTGTCATTCTATGTCGCCAAATATTCAAAAAAAAAAAAAAAAATTATTTTTTCTTATGAAAATGTTAAGATTATTTTTCTGAGTGTTTTAGTCCAAAAAAAAAATTTTTGCCATCGGTACTTACTGAGATATAGAGCCGTGAAGTTTGCAGAAAATGAGCCGCGTATGGCAACAGCGGCGACTGCCGCTCACCCGGTAAACTTTAGTTTACTTGTATTTGAAGGTTTTTTGTTTTTTTCACTATTTTATTTTTTCACATAACTTATGTGGCCTATGAGACCAAAGTAAGGTGCAATGTACATATATACACTCGTTGTATACAACACAATAAGCACACAAACATAATTATCAATATATTGTTTACAAAACTTGTTTACAAAAACAAACAATCATCCTCCTCCTCCTCCTCCTCCTTCTCCTCCTCCTCCTTCTCCTCCTCCTCCTCCTCCTCCTTCTCCTCCTTCTCTTTCTCCTCCTCCTCCTCCTTCTTCTCCTCCTCCTTCTTCTCCTCCTCCTTCTTCTCCTCCTCCTTCTTCTCCTCCTCCTTCTCCTCCTCCTCCTCCTCCTCCTCCTTCTCCTCCTCCTTCTCCTCCTTCTCCTCCTCCTCCTTCTCCTTCTCCTTCTCCTTCTCCTTCTCCTTCTACTTCTACTTCTACTTCTCCTTCTCCTTCTCCTTCTCCTTCTCCTCCTCCTTCTCCTCCTTCTCCTTCTCCTACTTCTCCTCCTCCTTGTCTTGTGTGCGAGTGTGTGGCTTATAATTGTTTTGAGTCAGAAGTCGGCAGCTGTCAAAGTGACATATTATCTCATTACTCACACCCCCTACCTCCTGTCAAAACAATGGGGTCGGATGCTGCTTCCCCTCCTCCATTCTAATTATCTTTCTCCCTCATTCTATATCTTTCAATCTGTCTCTCGTTCTATCTGTCTGCCTATCTCTGTCTCACAGGTACACATAAATACAAGTATACATAGTGTAAATTACCTAGGATAACCCAAGAAATCCAGACAAAGTGCTATACTCTGCTTGAAGATGTGAGTAAATGTGATGACACAGTCTTGTGGCTCTCTCTGAGACAGAGAGCTAGATGGACAGACAGGGAGCTTGACAGACAGACAAATAGACAGACAGAAATGTTTGTGTACCAGCAAAAACAAAGGGAGGGCGATGGTCATGTAATATTACCCTCCTTTACGCTCATCAAAGTCAGCTCTTATCAGATGTTATCTCCCCTTATCTTGTCACTGTCATGGGGTGGACTTTTTTTTTTCTTGCTTCAAGGGAACAATATTATTACATCTTCTTCTTCCTCCTCCTCCTCTTCTCCTTCTCCTTCTCCTCCTCCTCCTCCTCCTCCTCCTCCTCTTCCTTCCCTCCTCCTCCTCCTCCTCTTCCTCCCCTCCTCCCCCTCCTCCTCCTCCATTGCTTTTGGTCTCAAACTCCTCCAAATCATGAAATTGATCTTCACTGACACTTCCATCTGTGTTAGAGCATCACTTGGGAAGAGAAGAGTCCCAGATTTGCTAGGGAATCACATATTTCTTACCGCTAGACATGCTGAAAAAGGACAACTGAAATGGCATTCCCACAATGCACCACTGGCTCCCCGATTTTTTTTATATGGTGCACACTGACCATGGAGACCCATTCTCTCACATGTGGGCCTACCAGCTTTCTCTCCTGCTTGATTTGAAGCTGCTAGAATTTATGCGTATAAATACGTCAGAAACATTGGCTCGTAAGACGTATTTATACGTCGGAAACAGTCAAAGGGTTAAAGATGCCATATTAATAATGATAATAACAATAATAATCACTGAGGTGCATTAAATGTGTATAAAACGTTAATATAGACATTTTGCTTAATCCATCTATGATTTTTTTTTCAAAATTATATAATAAACATGCTACATAACATATAAATTAACAAATATGAGACGTTTTTCTGGTCGGCTTGACAGTGAACAGGAACCGTTCGTGTCCGGGCTGGTAACAACAACAACAACAACGTTTGTTTACATAACTCGTGAACATTCTACATTCTCATTCTCTCTCTCATTTATTCATTTAATCTTGTTTACTCACCCCCTCACTCTACATTAAAACTACAGATATTTTAAGGTAAGTAATGAGTGGACACGATTATTATATTATAGCTTAATAATAATAATATTAATATTAGTACATATGCATTATTGTAATAATAATGATTATTAATATTATTATTAATTTAGGGCACTGGAGCACAGATCCATTGTATGGCACTTTGTCTGGATTTTTTGGGTTATCCTGGGTAATTTATAATTTTATAAAAACTTGACTTACTGACCAGTGAGAGAGAGAGAGAGAGAGAGAGGAGAGAGAGAGAGAGAAGAGAGAAGAGAGAGAGAGAGAGAGGGAGAGAAAGAGAGAGATACGAAGAGAGAGGAGAACAGAGAGAGGGGAGAGAGATACAGAGAGAGAGAAGAGAACCGAAGAGAGATACAAAAAAGCCACATTCGGTTAGCCATCCCCAAACTACCCACCCACCCACCCATCCAGCCACTCACCCCCCACCCACCCACCCCCCCATCATCCCGGACACCACCCACCCCCCAGCCACCCCCAAAACCCACCCGCCACCCACCACCCACCCGGCCCCCCACCCATCCAGCCAGCCACCCACCGGCCAACCACAGCCCCGGCCCCCCAGCCACCACCGGATACGTATTAACATGTTCCAGAGTTTTTTCTCTTTACTTGGGGTATAGTTTTACAACATTCGGGGCGGGGATGACCTCCAGTGGTATTCCCCTTTCCACTGTGTCGACAATACATAAAGAAAATATAACATTTACTGATGCGATGAAAAATTTTACATTACATATCACTACCGTAAAAATTATATGCAGTACATAAAAAAATTAAAAAAAACAATAAAGAAATTATCGAAAAAAGAAAGAAATAATGTTTGTACTTTTACATTACGTATTATTTTGGTATTTTTAAATTAGGAAGTTTTGACATTAGCCCTCCCAATATGTGGGCAATTTTCAAAGGTTCGCTTAACGTCCATTTCGATTCCCCGGTTGGTCGGGAACCAAGCTTGGTCATAAGTCGGAGGGTAGGTGTATTATATTCTTGAAAACTTGTATGCAATATACAGTAGACCCCGGAAAATTCAGTGTTACATTATGAAAAACAGCACAAAATAAAACCCTGTGGGAAAAAAAATATAAATCTGATACAAATGTCACCATATCAAAAAAAATTACCAGTCACAACATAATTGAGGTTCAGCTTATGCCGGAGCCCCAGACAAAAAAATGAGATTAGTCCAGGGAGCATTCACCAAATTTCAACTTCAATAACAAAAAATAAAGTGGGCCCCAAGTAAACCCAACCCAACCGATATAAGGGGAAGATATACAAGCAACACAGACCCCATTTATGCCAAAAACAGATTAACTGGGTGGCACTCGATGTAGAAAAGGCTTATTCCTCTAAGAAAGAGGAGGGTAATTTAAAATAAAAGAGACGGCACCCCCTTACAGGCGAGGGAAAAAATAACAAGCGGCTAAAAGAGGTAAATATATCGAAATGCGTAAGGGAGACACGGTCACGAAATAGCAAACATCAAAATTTAAACTAAAAAATTTTATGGGGTCAGAATGCGGGAAGAACTAAAAACCTAAAAGAAATTTTTAAAGAAACCCAAAGTAGTATTTCTTTTCCTATGCCCAAAAAAAGTCGAGAACAAGTCCAATTGGCCCCCACTAAAAAAAATGGGGCCTACACAGTGACAACAAAGGAAAAATTTAGCACCAAGTCCCAATATACTCAGTTTTTTAGCAAACCGCTAACCAGACTGAATCAAATCAAAAAGAAATTTTATGAGGAGCCCGAGAATTTTGGTTAACACAAACCTTTGGATCCTACGCCCAAAAGACTTCGAAAGCGAAAATGACAGCCCTGCCATCTGCC